CACAGCCTTCCTTGGCTTCTTCAAGGAGTCCTGACTGAGGCTGAAATCTGCCCCGCCCCCCAGGCTCCCAATCCATAACCCAGGAAAAGGACCCAGATCAGGGCAACCTCTTAGCCAAAGTCACAGCCCCAACGGCTCCAGTCAAACCGCAGGCCTCTCAAGGCCACACTGCCTGCTGCATCTTGCCTCTGACCCTGTGAAAGGCAGAGACGGGCACCAAAGACCCCAGTGGGCGAGGCCTGGAACAAGTGGGTCAGCGCAGGGCTGCGAAGGAGCCAGGCTGGGCCTGGCCTGGCTCTTGTGGAGCTCCGCTCTGCTCTCCCTGCCCGTCTCCCTTCTCCTCCCCTTGCCCCCAAAATAGCTCCCTGAGCCGCCCGGCCAAGACCCTCCCATCGCAGGGGGAGGCGGGGCAAGCTCCCCAGAGCCAGGCTTTAAAACCCCAGGCAGCTGGGGATCTCCACTCCCTGGCTGGAGGCACTGCTGAGGCCACCCATCAGTCCGGCCCGCCCTCCTGCAGCCATGTCCCGGCCCTTGTCAGACCAGGAGAAAAGGAAGCAAATTAGCGTGCGTGGCCTGGCTGGCGTGGAGAATGTGACGGAGCTGAAGAAGAACTTCAACCGGCACCTGCATTTCACACTTGTGAAAGACCGCAATGTGGCCACCCCGAGAGATTACTACTTTGCGCTGGCCCACACCGTCCGCGACCACCTCGTGGGCCGCTGGATCCGCACGCAGCAGCACTACTACGAGAAGGACCCCAAGGTGCCGCTCGGGGCATCCTGGGTGGGCAGTGGGCTGGGGGCCCCAGCAGGGGACCGGGAGAGCTCCACCAAGCGGCAGCCCTTCCAGGGGTCTGGCTTTTCTGCAGCAGCGGGTTCCTGACGTTGGAGGGTCGGGAACGGTGGGCGCCATGGCCAAGTGCGACGGGGTGCTGGGGCGATCCAGGCAGTGAGACCCGGGGCGGGGGCAAGGCCGGGTGGCGCGGGTCAGGCGGGCTTGGGGCAAAAGGCCTAGCGCTCGCTCAGAGAGCGGAGGGGCTTCCGGTGGTCAGGGAGACCCCTGCGGGTGGTCAGGGCGGACCTGAAATGGAAGGGTGGGTCATTACATGTGAGTGTGGTGGTGCTGGTGCGAGGCTGGGGCAGCTGGGGTGGTGGTAGCGGGATCAAGTGTCTTTGGGGTCATGGTAAATGTCAGCAACCTGATACTCCTGGGCAGGGGAGGGGGAGGGGCAGGCGAGTGGGGCAGGGAGGGGACCCAGGAAACCAGGAGACCCAGCATCCTGGATTCTGGTGCCTCTCTGTCCCCCTTCCTGGGGCTGAGGCTTGAGGATCAAGGGGACCTGGGCCCTGAAAGGACAGAAGGGGGCCGACTCTAGCCGTGAGTCAGTGTGTGTGACCTTGAGTAAATGACTGGTTTCTCTAGGGCACCTTAGCCTTCCCCCTCTTGGGGAGCACTTGGGGGGGCTTCTCTGCTCCCCGATTCCCCGCTGGGCTATTGGAAGGCTTGTGTGCGATGGAAGAGGGTCTCGCCTGTCCTCGGCACCTCAGTCCCTGAGGTAGATATGGCAGCCCCCTTTTCCAGATGAGGAAACAGAAGCTAAGGGAACAAAAGTGATGTGTCCAAAGTCAGAGGAAAGGCTGGACCGGTACCCTCCTGACGGGTCCTGAAGCCTGTGGTGGGGAGAAGAATAAACAGGGACAGGGCTGGCACGTGCCAGGCCCCCGGAGTGGGACAGGAGGTGTGAGAGGCACTGGCTAGACGCCGGAGGGCTGACCCCTCCCCGACCCATCTGTCTGTCCGGGCAGAGGATCTACTACCTGTCTCTGGAGTTCTACATGGGACGGACACTACAAAACACCATGGTGAACCTGGCCTTGGAGAATGCCTGTGACGAAGCCACCTACCAGGTGTGCAGGGGGACGGGAGCGGGGTGAGCCTGAGATACTGGGGGACTCACCTGCTGGCCCTTGGCCTTGACCACTGCCACCCCTCCCCCCACCCCTCCAGCTGGGTCTGGACATGGAGGAGCTGGAGGAGATCGAGGAGGACGCGGGGCTGGGCAACGGGGGCCTGGGTCGGCTGGCCGGTGAGTGGATAGGGTGGCAGGGGTGGGGCGGGCAGAAGGGTTCCTGTGTGCCGGGTCCCTGACACCCACCTCCCCGTAACCCCCTAGCATGCTTTCTGGACTCCATGGCAACACTGGGCCTGGCTGCCTACGGCTACGGGATCCGCTATGAGTTTGGGATTTTTAACCAGAAGATCTGTGGGGGCTGGCAGGTGAGCAGCCTCGGGCCCTGGCCTTGTGGGGCCCCAGGCACGATGGAGCAGACCCCCCCCTTTGGTCATCCAGCTCCGGATAGACCCAGAACCAGCCTCAGCCTTGAGAGAAGGCATCCTTGTCCCTTCCCCCTGGCCCCAAAGCCTGCTGGTTTTGCACAGGCACCCACACCTGTGCCACCTCTCAGACTCCCACGCACATACCATGTCCCATGGGATATGCCACCAGACCGGGGGTGGGCGCCACCCCAGGGCCCTTAATTTACACGCCGTAGAGGGCCCGGCAGGGCCACTGCTCCTGCCCTACCCACTGCCTCCCGCGGTGTGAGCCTGGGTCTGACGCTGAGCCTGGGTCTTCCTTTCTCCCCTGACCTGCCTTGGACTCAGATGGAGGAGGCCGACGACTGGCTTCGCTACGGAAACCCCTGGGAGAAGGCCCGACCCGAGTTCACGCTGCCCGTGCACTTCTATGGCCGAGTGGAGCACACCAGCCAGGGGGCCAAGTGGGTGGACACACAGGTAAGGGTGAGGCCAGGGAGTGGGGGGAGCCCCCAGGGAGGGGGAAGCAGGGAGGAAGAGGCTGTGGAAGAAAACAGGGAGATACGGGGAGAGAGCCTGGAGACTACCGGACCCAGTGCTATTTACCGTGAAGGGCACTGAGGCTCAGAGAGGTTAAGTGATTTACTCGAGGTCACACAGCTTGGGTCAGGAGAGGCTGGAGACAGGGTCACAGAGGAGCCAAGCCAAGCACAGGGCCCAGGGGGAGGAGAGAGCCTGCCGTGCGCCACCAGTGCCCTTCCCCCGACCTGGCTCCTTTCCACCCCACAAGACTCATCCCGGAATAATCACGGTGACTTGACTCCCCCCAGAAAGGGAGACAATTAAAACCTTGAGAGAGGAACTGACTTGTCCAAGGTCACACAACAAGCGAGAGGGAGCCTGAAGCCAAACCAGGTGTCTGAACCTCAGACCCAGGTGTCAGAGAACCTCAGTCAGCTCTCTTGCCGTGGCTGTAGGTCATAGGCCTCCAGACGGCTGCACAGAAACCTCTAGGCTTTCAGAATGGGCCATTTGTCGGGCTGTCATTTATGATAAGATTCAGTAGGGGCTCTGGCTGCCCCCTAGCTCTGTGCTCTCGGGCCAGTCCCTTCCCTCTCGGAGCTGCACCTTCCACTCTTTTCCAATCAGGGGCTAAGCTGCTTCGGTGTTGGGGAGAAAGGGCGCCGGGCCTTGGAGAAGTGCTTATGCCCCCAGCCCTGTGGTAGCGGGCAGCTGTTGGCAGCAATGATCGCCATTTGCTAATTGTGGGAGGTGGGACCAGCATTAGTCACTGCTAATTAGCCCGGTGGTCAACCAGGCATATGCCCTTTGGATGGACTTGACGTCTGTGTCCCCTTCAGCCAGGCACCGGGGCCCCCCAGCCCTCTGATGAGTCCAGAGTATCTTCTAGATCGTGCTCGGGCCAGGCGGGCCCGCTCACCCCCATCACTGTAGAGCGGCCCCCAACGGAGCCCCACCTTGGGCTCCAGACTCATCACTGCCCCCCTGTAATCCTCGCAGGCAGCTGGGCAAGGTGGGGTGGGGGTGGGTGGGGAGACCCTGGGGGGCCCTCTCTCTATGGATGAGGCCCAGAGAGGTTGAGAGGTTCGCTCACGGTTACCCAGAGTGGGCAGTAGAACCTGGGGCGGGGTTGGTGCAGGGTAGAGACAAAGGCAGGAGTTGTGGCTCTCGGGGGCCCCCCAAGTCACGTGGCAGATACCCAGCTCCTGACACCACGTGCGACACGCCTGCAGGTGGTACTGGCCATGCCTTACGACACTCCTGTGCCTGGCTACCGTAACAATATCGTCAACACCATGCGCCTGTGGTCGGCCAAGGCCCCCAATGACTTCAACCTCAAGGACTGTGAGTTCAGCCGCCTGCCCGCGCCCCTGCCTGCCCCGGCCTGTGCTCAGCCTGGGCCCGACACTGTCCCCACTTTCACCCCTCAGTCAACGTCGGTGGCTACATCCAGGCTGTGCTGGACCGAAACCTGGCGGAGAACATCTCTCGCGTCCTGTACCCCAACGACAACGTATGTCACCTCCTGGGCTGGGGGCGGGACACCTGAAAGCCTAGGAGAGGGCGGAAAACGGGGAGGGACAGCCTCTGGCGCCCTAGTGACACCCAGGACATATCCTTTGTTTTTTTAAGTTTATTTATTTATTTTTTAGTAATCTCTACACCCCCAACGTGGGGCTCGAACTCACAACCCTGAGATCAAGGGTCACATCTCTTCTAACTGAGTCAGCCGGGCGCCCCGCAGCACCCAGGACGTATTGTTGGCTCCTGTCGTGTCCTGTTCCCCACCCCCGCCCCCCAAGTACTTTTGGTTCTTTAAGAGGACACCTAAGTCCTGGGGGCAGCGAGCTGGGGCAGGGCACTTTGGGGGACCTGTTCCCTGGCGATGCCGACACTACTCCGGGTCCTCGAATGCCCCCGTCCTCACACCATCCCCTCCACTACCTGGTGGGTGAAAATCCCCTGGGTCCTGGAGGCGGGGGCTGTTCAGGGCGCAAGGGGCTTGGTGTGGGCAGGAGTCTCCCGGCCACGCTGTGGCACCGTCAGAACCCCCCACCCCCTTGACTCAGCCCTGCCTTGAACTGTCCCCAGTTCTTTGAGGGGAAGGAGCTGCGGTTGAAGCAGGAGTACTTTGTGGTGGCCGCCACCCTCCAGGACATCATCCGCCGCTTCAAGTCCTCCAAGTTCGGCTGCCGTGACCCCGTGCGCACGAGCTTCGACGCCTTTCCGGATAAGGTGCCAGGCCCCAGGGAGGGCCCCCCTCTACACCTCCCGTGATGCATGCCGTCGCCTCTCCCCTCCAGCCTCAGCCTGCCCCCTCATGTCGTAGATGAGGAAGTGGGGGCTGGGTGTGTGTGTGAGGGTGGCCTGTTCGGGATCCTCAATCGACGGGCACCTAACCTGGGAACCTCCCTCCCCCTCCTGCCCGCCGCTGCCCCCCCCCCACCGAGGGCCGCCACACCCGGCTCCAGCCTGGAACCACGCGGAGGGGGCTCTGAAGGGGCAAAGGACAGCGACCATAGCCTTGGTTTGGATCCCAGCCTGACTCCCAACCCCCTCCCCGCAGGTGGCCATCCAGCTGAATGATACCCATCCTTCCTTGGCCATCCCCGAGCTCATGAGGATACTGGTGGATCTGGAGAGGCTGGACTGGGACAAGGTGGGCTCCAGGACCCTCCACCCCCGCCTGAGCCTCTCTGTCTCAGGGTTGCCTTTCCCGGTCTGGGAAGTAGAAATCCGTGAGGGCAGCCCGCACGAAGCAGACAGCAGCGTCAGGCCCCGAGGACGAGTGTCCTAGGACCTGTCCCCCAGTGACAGGGCCCAGGCTCCTGGCCGCACTCTGTGTGTGTGTGGAGCCATAGGGCTCAGGCCCCGGGGTCCCTGACCGCCCCCCTCCTCTTCATCAGGCCTGGGACGTGACGGTCAGGACCTGTGCCTACACCAACCACACGGTACTGCCCGAGGCCCTGGAACGCTGGCCCGTGCATCTGATTGAGACGCTGCTGCCTCGACATCTCCAGATCATCTACGAGATCAATCAGCGCTTCCTTAATGTGAGTGGAGGAGGCCTGGGCTGGAGGGTGCAGGGCTGTGGGTAGAGTGCTGGGGGTACGGGGCTGGGGACCTCGGCTCTGGAGGCCGCGGCGGCGTCTGAGCTCTGGGCTCTCCCTGCGCAGCGGGTGGCAGCCGTCTTCCCGGGGGACGTGGACCGGCTGCGGCGCATGTCGCTTGTGGAGGAGGGCGCAGTGAAACGCATCAACATGGCCCACCTCTGCATCGCCGGGTCGCACGCCGTCAATGGCGTGGCCCGCATCCACTCCGAGATCCTCAAGAAGACCATGTGAGACCCGCTCCCCAGGCCTCGCCCCCCGCTGGCCCCGCCCATCCCACCCCCCTCACCACCTGACCCCAGCTGGCCCTTTCCACAGGTAGCACAGCTTTTATGAGCATCGTGGCCCTGATGTCCAGTACAGTCCTGTCCCCAAATGATCTCCTCTCACATACAGCCACCCCCTCATCCCCAGGCCCCTCTCAGCAAGAAACCAGGGTAGGGCCTCCAGGAGGAGACCTTCGTCCCGCAGGGGTGGGTAGTGACCCTCCAACCCCATCCTGCAGCTTCAAGGACTTCTACGAGCTGGAGCCACATAAATTCCAGAATAAGACCAATGGCATCACCCCTCGTCGCTGGCTAGTCCTGTGTAACCCCGGGCTGGCAGAGGTCATTGCTGAGGTGAGAGGTCACTGTGTGGCCAGTAGGGGTGAACACGCGTCGCTACAGGGACCAGCTGTGCATGGACACGTAGGTGGGCCACTGCAGGGGGCCCAGTGGAGGGCCGAAATCCACCCTGCGCTGCGTTCCCCTAGCTTTGCATGTGCCTGGAGGAGGGGGGACCGTTTTCTTGTTTGCATGAGGATGCTCTGTGGGCTAACGGAGGCCTGGCTATGGAGGTCAGCCTCGGAGAGGGTCAGGACAGGTCACATCTGAAGTGAGACTGACAGGAACAGAGATTGTGAGCAGGGCGTCAAGGTCACTGTCTGTCAGAGGAAAAGGCCAGGAGGAAGGCCTGCTGGGGTCCCGTGAGGTCAGCCATCAGAGCTCAAGGTCCAGCGGGAAGATGGTGGTGCCCACACCACGCCCCAGCGGGGAGGCTGGCGAAGGAGGGGTTGTCTGCAGGGGGCGAGGCCTGGCTGACGCCGGAAAGGGACCTTTCTGTGCGGGAGGCTGGAGGAGGGGTGTAGGCATGACCGACAGCCACCGCCCCACAGCGCATCGGGGAAGACTACATCTCCGACCTGGACCAGCTGCGCAAGCTGCTCTCGTACGTGGACGATGAAGCCTTTATCCGGGATGTGGCCAAAGTGAAGCAGGTACGGGATGTGGCGACCTGGAACACTGGTGCCAGGGCGGGAGGGAGCACGCTGGAGGCGCCAGCCCCCGGGCCCGGCTCGGGGATGGCCCGCGGGGCCTGTCTCCCCGGCAGCCTCGGGCCTGGTGGACGTTGCCTGGAGTCCAAGGTGACAGGGCATCATCTGACCGCACTGGAAGAGTGCTGGCATTGATTAGCGATGTCTGCCCTGGCGCACGCGGGGATAAAGGTGGCGAGCGAGCCTTCTGTCCGCTCCCTTTCTGGGAAAGAAATGACACTGTGGGATCTCCTGAGGCTGAGGCCCGTTGGTGAAGCTCTCCCCCCATCCTCCCTGCCTTCAGGAAAACAAGTTAAAGTTCGCCGCGTACCTGGAGGGGGAGTACAAAGTCCATATCAACCCCAACTCGCTCTTCGACGTCCAGGTGAAGCGAATTCATGAATATAAACGCCAGCTCCTCAACTGCCTCCACATCATCACCCTGTACAACCGTGAGTGGCAGGGGTGCCCTCCGTCTCTTGGCGCTCCCCTCTGCGTACCCCTCCCCCCGCCCCGTGTACCACGTACCTCCTAGTCAACGTCTCCTTTGGCCTCGGGACAGCTCTTGGGGCATGGACTTACCCCCATTTCATAGACAGGCAAACTGAGGCTCGGA